GTAATTTAATAAAAAATTTAATTTACTAGAAATGATAAGAATTATATATAAATTATAAACACAAGATTAATCTTGGGTAGAAATAAATTATAAAATTTAATCTAAATGAATAACAGCTTTTAAATTGTAAAACATCCCAGAATATTTAAACATATTCTCTTAGCCAGTAGAAATAATCTATAAAAGTTCAAATATAAAAGAAGAGTATAAATCTCCGTTCACTAACTTTGTCTCAGGTGACTTAAAACTATAAAGTGTGGAGTTCTTGGAGACTGCCCTCTGCTCAGTGGAATCAATACCTGAACTTGGAAACATGGAAGAGAATTTTGCCAGCTCAAGCAAAGCAAGCCACTTTGGTTGCTATCCCTGGTAACAATGGAATGAAATGCTAGATATCATGGATTCACTTTAGCTCATCGAATCCTGCCAAGAGTAATAGATCGGGCACGTGAGAGCCACAGCCATGCCAACAGAACCATCCATTCGAACAACTAGAACAATGCCTCGTTGCTGGCCCAAACTCTAAAAACGAAGGGAGAAAGATCACTATACTGATCTCGTTGCTCTATATTCCATCCCAAACAGTGAGGTGTTTGATACAGCTGCATTGCATGCTCCCCATTAGAAATCATCAAGAATGCTACTAAGAAAAAGAATACAAAGAGCCTGCTTATAGCCCTTTGAAATGGAGATGAATCTTGAAGGTTCTTCCTTCCATTTCTTTTGCAAGCACCAAAATTTCCAAGCATTTGCAATGCGATCAGCTCTGGCCGGAGTGTGATACTGCGCCATGGATTGGGAGCTTATCCTTGCAGCCCCCCAGCAAGACCTTCCGCAAGATCGCCATAGCCTGAGAGCTCGTGTCCATCAACACCCCTGCACACCAAGTCTCCAATCTTCACGTGATCCAGCGAAAGTAAGCCTCCAAACTTCCAGCGGACTTGAGCACACGCTGGATTTCGTCCGGCATCTGGTATGAACACTTTGGGAGGATACAAGCACCTCTGGAAGTGGTAGAACCAGCCATAGCGTCCAAGCCCTGTGCAAATCCAAAGTTTGATCTACACGAGAGCAAATAAGGAGACGTCGACGTAGTTCTCGTTTCTCTACGGAGCTGGATTCGGGAATCTGCTGTGAACAGCATCTATCTCCTCCACCATTTCATCTGTTAGTGTGATAGCAGCTGCTTTCACTATATCCATTAGCTGATAGTCCTTTGTAGCTCCAATCACAGCACTTGCAACCAGTGGATGCCTTAGTACAAAACCTGACCAAAAGAGAAGTTTTTCTTGAGCTCAAGCAATACATGGATTTGCGTTGTAGGCACCTATAGCAAGCTCCACGGGGGTGATGCCATAATTCTTAGAAATCTCTACGTATGCCTGAAACGAAATAGTTTGGAAGAAAATCCGAAATGTACGTACCTTGACAGCCGGTAACAGATTGGGTTTTCCAAGATCATACCGGCATTCTGCCTCGGTGTAGCGTCCTGTATTAGTGTTTTTCTACGTTAGAGAAAGAAGATTGCGTAGTGACCTTTATAAAGATTTAAACGAGCATCAGCCGGACCTCCACCATCTTCAAGATATTTCGCAGTTAGCAAACCCATTGCCAAAGGACTGTAAGCCAGGAGGTTTATGCTGAAAAAACAAAGAAGAACACTGTTTACAGTCTACAAAGGTGATAAGCTTTTACCTTTCGTGATGGCAGCATTCGGCGAGACCATAATCAAAGGTTCGACACAGGAGGCTATATGCATTCTGTTGCAGAGGGTTAGAATCCTCCACTTGGGCATATATAAACTTCTTCTTCTCCACTTACTTGGATCGATAAAACTCGAGGCAGCCTGTTCCCGCGAGAAGCCCGGCAGAATTCCATGAGACCGTAAGGAGTTTCATTGCTAACTCCAATGTATCTTATCTGTTCAACCAGTTCTGTTGAGTGGCAAATCGAAAAGGATTTGTACCTTGCCAGCGTCTACAGCGTCAGACAAAGCTTGCAGCTGCTCGTCCACAGGAACTGCTTTGATACGGCGTGAAGGATCGTAATCAACTTCTCCAAACATCGGTGTATAGCTATAGAAAATTCCCATTCTCAAGCAAAGCACACAAGCATAAAATGTTTTACTCACCGATCAGGCCAATGTATCTGATAGAGATCAATATGATCCAAGCAAAGTCGCTGCAAGCTGCACGAAGGAACAAAAACCATGCCAGTAAGAACAATGGTATGAGAAGTAAAACCTTGTGTCAATAGCCGCCTTGATATTATTCTTGTCCAAAGAGTGTGGTCCTCCACGAATCCAAGTCATTTGTCCCGAAGGCCCAGCTACCTTAGAAAAAACTTAGAACCATGAAATGAAAGAATTTTGCTAGCTCGAGAAAAGCAAGCTCACCTTGGTCGCTATCACAATCTTGTCCCTGGCAATGTTACTCTCTCTGATCCATCGACCGAGGTAGACCTCACTCTTTCCATGAGTTTGAGCTCTTTGAGGCACCGGGTACCTGCGAGCAAGGAGCAAAGGAAACGATCGAAAGCAAAGAAATGCTGGTTTTACATCTCTGCCGTGTCGAAGAAGTTGATTCCAGCTTGTGTAGCGATGCTCAAGAGCTTGGCGGATTCACTATAGCTGTTCTGCTCACCAAATGTCATGGTTCCTGCCAGGAGCGCGCGAGATACGTGAGAATCAATCCAACGGGCTCACCAACCTAGGCAGAGCTTCGACACGGAGAGATCCGGCGCGAGAACCACAGCCATGCTAACACGAAAACCCTAATGGAATAGAAATAGGAAAAATGCCCAGGCTGGGCATCTAGACATTCTTGTTTGGCACCAGTATGATCACAGAAGAGCTGGCTAAATGCCCGACGCAGTGGCTGATCTTGCCACTCGCCTCCGATGTTGCTCCTGCATTGTGGCCGGAGAGCAAATCCACAGGGAGATCAAAGCATCCGCTCTCGAGCACAACAGGTACCTTGCAAACTTGCTCGTCCAAATGTATGGCAAGCTTGATAGATTGGGCGAAGCACGCGCTGTCTTTGATAGCATCCACGCTCCCGATGCCTTCTCTTGGAGTATTATGATCGCGTGCTACACGAAAGGCGGCGAGATCGAAGCTGCGAGGCGCCTTTTTGATGCTGCTGGGACTGATCCGGGGGTCGTGTCATGGAACACCATGATCACGGCATATGCCCGAATTGGGGATCTCAGCGAGGCCAAGAAGCTTTTCCAGAAAATGCCGAATCCCAATGCTGTTACGTGGACGGCGATCCTCACAGCAGTTGCGGAGAACAGCTCGCTCCAGGAAACGCGAGAACTTTTTGATGCAATGCCAGAGAGAAATCTTTCATCGTGGAACGTAATGCTTAATGCATATGCCCGAACTGGGCACTTGGGAGAATCTGAAAACTTGTTCTGCACTTGCCCTGAGAGAAACATTCGGACTTGGAACGCTTTACTGCATGCATGCGTCCAAAACGGAAATGTTCTTGATGCCCAAGACGTGTTCTCACGGATGCCCGAGAGAGATGCTGTGTCGTGGACGGATATGCTCATGGCGTATGCCACCTTTGGGCATACTGAAGATGCCAAGAATTTGTTTAGACAGATGCCAGAGAAAAACACTGTCGCGTGGAACATTATGGTAAACGCATTATTCCAAGGTGGTTGTTCGAACGAGGCTAAGGAATATTTCGACAAGGCTCCGAATCCAAATGTAGTGACCTGGAACTCTATGATCCTTGCGTATATCCGTTCTGGATATATAGCGGAGGCGAGGCGGCTCTTTGATTCGATGCCAATGCGAGATTTGATAACTTGGAATTCAATGATCCAAGCATATGCCGATGCCTTAGATTCCCACAGTGCCGATGCTCTCTTTGATCGATCTCCACAACACAATGTGGTGTCGCGGACCACAATGTTGGTCATGTATGCCGAGGTTGGGCATCTGGAAGATGCCAAACGAATCTTCGACACGATGCCAAGCAAGAACATTGTGTCGTGGACGGCGCTGCTGCAGGCATATGCCGAGGCTGGGAATCTCGACGATGCCGAGAGGATATTTCACCGGATGCCCGAGTGGAATAGCGTGACGTGGAATGCGATGGTTGGTGGATATGGCGTTGCTGGAAATGTAAATAAAGCGGAATCCATGTTTAGCGAGATGCCGGAGAGTGACGTGTTGTCGTGGAACGTTATGCTGGAGGTATATACCAGCAATGGGCATCTTGGAGACGCAAAGGCACTGTTTGATAGAATGCCGTGTTGGACTCAAACATCGTGGAATATTCTGCTAGCGGCATACGCGGAGGGGTCTTTGCTAGAGGAGATGCTCTGGTTGCTCGACTCCATGCCTGGGAGAAACGTTGCCAGCTGGACGATTGCGATTGCGACACTTGGCGCGAATGGGCATCTGTGTGAGGCGGAGAGAATCTTCGGTTTGATGCCAGAGCACGACCTCGTGTGCTGTACGGCGATGCTCACGGTATTGGTACACCACAGGAAGTGTTACAAAGCAAAGCTCTTTTTTGAAAAGATTCCAGAGCGCAGCCAGGTATCTTGGAACACGATGCTGGAAGCATATGCCCTGTCGCGGGATATCCATGGCGCGAGAATCTTTTTCGAACGCATGGAGGCGCGGGAGGCGGTGGCGTGGGGCAGTGTGATTGGATCGTACGCAAACGCTGGCCTCATGGAATCCGCCATGACACTCTTCCGTACCATGGCCATGGAGGCTCTAGCTCCCGACGAGATTATCTTCCTCAGCGTTCTCTCGGCTTGCAATCACGCCGGATCGCTAGAACAGGGCTTGCGCTGCTTCATGTCGATGATCGCAGACTATGGATCGGCGCCACGGAGGGAGCACTACACTTGCTTGATCGATCTTCTCGGCCGGGCGGGGGAATTACTCGATGCGGAAGAGATCATTAGCAAGATGCCATTCAAGCCGGATGCCACGGCCTGGGGGTCGCTGCTGAGCTCCTGCGCAGGGGTGAGAGAGATCGATCGAGGGACGAGGAAAGCCAGGGCGGCATTCCAATCCAGTGATAGCTCCAGCCCCTATATTTCCCTCGCTAATATGCGCTCCAGAAATTAGGGTTCTTCGGGGATGGAGGTGGAGGTGAGGCGCGTTGCCAGCAGCGATGTCGGCTTCGTTGCGCTCCCGATGCATGTAATTTACCTTCTCCAGCAAGGCGACGCGCATTTCACTTCCCTCCTGGTGCTGGAATTGAAGATTTCGCGTCCAGCGGCAGGCGATGGAGCCGCATTGGTTCCCTGGTTCGTGGCTTGGAGCGGCGCCACCTCCAATTCCATTTTCATCGAGGTACGTTCGTGGAGTTCCTGGGGGTGATCTTCTTTCTTAGCTCAAGCTTTGATGAAGGAAGGTTGCGGAGAGTCTAGCGCAATGCCTGGGGCTACCTGATCGAGCGAAGGTTACAGTTCGTGTTCGTATCGATTTGCCAGAAGCACAGACTGTTCTAGTGGAGCCAGCGACGGAGGACGATTCGGAGATTTTGGAGCTCCACGCTGACTACCTTGAGACTCATATCTTAAACGAGGTATCCAGTTCGAACATATAGTCTTCTCGGTCTATTTTTTTCTTCTTCTACGTTGCTTCTAAGTTTTCTTATTCCAGGTTGGAGTGCTACAGGAGGGACGCCGGTTTCCTGTGTCAGTTCCAGGACAAGGGGTACTTGTGTTGCTTGCAAAGTCCATCACTCCAAGGTCAGTGGTGAGTGTGTGGAATTATTCTGGTGTGAACCATAGTCTCGTCCTCATGGCAATCCTTTTCAGGTAAGACTCACGCGAGGGACGGAATTAGTTGTGTCTATCAAGAAGCGCCAACATAACATCAAGCAAGGCCCGCAATTTGGAAAAAGTATCTGGCTGCGAATCCAGGATATTGACGAGTCGCTACATCAAGTTTGCAATATCGGAGGCAAAGAGCTCGCAGTTATTCCTACCGCTGCGGTTTACATCAATTCAAATACAGCGGAACGAGTCACCGTGGCAAATGGACAGTGGGTGCTGGTGAGAGCAAGCCAGTCCTTTCCGAATGAAGAAACGACTGATGAGCAGAAAAAGGCAACTAGATCGGCAGCTGTTCGTGTGATTTATTGGAGTGGAGCCACCGATGGCCATGCTGTGGTCTCAGCGCCTTTGCGGCAGTATTTGGGTGTTCAGCTCCACGGAGGTATAGCTTTTATATTAACTGTAACTCTGGACTTAACAATTTCTGCAGGGTTGTGTCTTCAATCCTTTCACCAAACTAATCTGCTGCAAGCAACGAGTGTTAGCGTAACTCCGGTTATGTTTCACTCAGAAGAAAATCAAACAGATGGGAAGCAGCTCAAGCAAGTGATTTCTTCCGAGACAGTGGACGATAAGCTTACCTTGATTAGAGCTTGGATAAAAGCCCAACAAAGGACGTTGCACAACGCTTTCGGCGGTAATGATGGTACTTCCTGGCCGGCAACATCCTTGATAGCGCTTTCGGAAGCGCCTGCCAACAGACAGAAAAAAGAATCGATTTTTTTGTTGAGCCTACAGTGCGGGGGGCAGATGGACAACAATATGCTTGTACTCGACGCCCGCATACTAGACGACGAGAAGCCTGTCTTGGATTTACGGATTGAGCGTCTCCAGTATTTGTTCACGATTAGTAAGGAGGACCGTGACGTCGATATGCCTTCTTTCAAATCAGTCTGGGTTAAAGGAAGCGCTGACGAAGCTTTACAGCGTACGTGTTCGTGTTCTTGCTTGATTGTTTTTCTTACAATTTTTTTTTCAGGACTTACCCTCCTGTTAACTCCAACTAGTCTGCAAAAGCTACGAGACATGGAAGTTGCGGTACCTGTTGGTATTCTTCTGTATGGACCAGCAGTAAGAAGACAGAAATATTACCCTTTGTGGAATGACGCCGTTGTGTTTGCAGGCGTGTGGAAAAACTCAGCTAGCTTTGGCTCTGGCACGGGAGCTCGGTGAAAACAAACAAATACAAGCGCATCGGTTTGTTATTATGTCTTTCCCCATTACGTGTTTTCTAACGCAATGGATTTGCTTGACATAGGGTGATTCTGAAATGTGCTGAGCTTGTTGGTGAAGCAGAAAGTCCAACAAAACGCCGTCTGAAGGAAGCAGTTCTGGGAGCCATTCAGCATGCGCCTTCTTTGGTGGTGCTCGATGACCTGGACGCTCTTTTCTCGATTAATGAAGAAGGAGGAGTTGATATGTCAGCCACTTCTCTCGCGGAGTACCTTTCAGATGTGATGGACAATGCTCAGGTGAAAGGTTCAGGCAACTTTAAAGTTTTACGTGCTCTTTTTTCTGTTCCACAGAGAACGGCTTCTGTCGCGTTTCTTGCAACTGCAAGTGGACCAAAATCTCTTCCACTTTCTCTGCGCTCGTCAGGTATTCTACCTTCCAAGGCTAAACACGTTCACTTTGGACACTGGTAATGCAGGACGATTTGATTTTAGCGTTGAGCTAGAACCCCCTGGTATTCGTGAGCGAGAAGGCATTCTCGAGCAAATTATCGCAAGCCGAGGTTTTGAGTGTCCAAAAACTATAACGAGTAGAGTGGCTGCCAAATGTGATGGATACGATGCAAATGATCTGGTAATGTGGTTTAGCTCATACTGTACTAGGTGCTGATTACTCATGGAATCAGGAAATTATGGTGGACAGAGCTTTGCATGCTTCATCTGCCCGATATCTCGCAAAAAAGGCGGAGACGGAAACGGGCCGCAATTTTCACTTGACAGACAGCGACCTGAACGACGCACTTCAAGGCCTTGTTCCGGCAGCACTCAAAGGAGTTGCCAAGGCGGGGAAAACTGGACCGATACTGGGATGGGATGATGTAGGTGGCCTGCAAGAAGTTTGCCGTGTGATTAGAGAGGTACTATTAACGTTGATTTGGATATCATCTGCCTCACTAGACTCGTATATTTGCAGCTGTTGGAACTACCTGTGAGGTACCCAAAGCTTTTTGCTAGTGCACCTTTGCGGTTGCGTACTGGCGTTCTTCTATACGGTCCTCCTGGATGCGGAAAAACGCATGTTGTTGCGGCAGCTGCTGCGGCGTGCTCCCTCCGTTATATTCCAGTGAAAGGTCCAGAGCTTCTTGACAAATACATTGGTGCTTCTGAAAAGGCGGTATGCTCTTTGAAAATATTTTGAGCTAGACCTTTGTTCCTTGTCCATCCAGGTTCGTGACGTTTTCGCGAGAGCAGCTGCGGCTGCTCCTTGCATCCTGTTCTTTGACGAGTTCGACGCTATTGCTCCCAAGCGTGGGCACGACAATACCGGTGTTACAGATCGGGTTGTGAACCAGGTACACGAACTTTTAAGCCATTGCATTAATAACTGTAGCATGCAGCTTCTAGCTGAGCTTGACGGGGTCTCAGCTTTAACGGGTGTTTTTACGTTCGCTGCTACCAAGTCAGTCAGCCTCTTATGAGAGTTGTTTGTGTAGCACTAATCGTTCTTTCTCTTGTAGCCGTCCTGATCTGATTGATGCGGCGCTGCTTCGACCTGGGCGACTCGACCATCTTTTGTTTTGCGATTTTCCTTCACAGGCCGAGAGGCTTGACATCCTACGTGTACTCTCCCGACATGTACGTACCCCTTCTTTTTGTTTTCTTTCTCTTGGCAGGTTTAACTTGATTTCCTTTTAAACAGCTTTCAATGGAAGATGACATTGACCTGCAGTACTTATCGCGTTTCTCAGAGGGTTTCAGTGGAGCAGATCTGAAAGCTGTTCTCTCAGACGCAGAACTAGAAGCAGTCCATTCGGCAATTGAAAGGCCAAGAGAAAAACACAACCAGCGCCCTGTAATAACGATGGAAATGCTCAAGTCAGCACTTGCGCGGGCCATCCCGCTACAGGAGGCAGAAAGGAAGCGATTCGCCAGCATATACAGTACATTTACAAGCGGCAGATCGTCATCTAAGGTCCGTTGCTCTTACGTGTTTTTTTTTTCATCGTCTTGACGTTCTGGTTGATAGGATTCCAAGGGAAAGAAAGCAACGCTGGCCTAGGAAAGAGAGAACCAGACAAGCACTCGGCTGAATGTAATCTATCTTCGTGGACAGTAACATCAGGCCTTTTGCTAGAGGTGTGTGGTCGTGTTCCTTGCAAAAATGATTCGTCAACTGTAACACCTGATCTGCAGGCCTACTTTGGGCTTCCTGATCATGCGAAAGTGGCTTGTACTGACGTGCCACCTCTACGAGTTTCCTGCCAAGGTTTGTAGGTAGCTAGCTTATATAAAAGCATTTCGCGTCACAAACATAAGCTCAAAGCTCTCTTGTGCTGTGACAAAGTGATGGCCTGTTCCCAGGCCATAGCACAAGCGAGTGAAAGTGTGAAGGTCTCTAAAAGCTGTGGCTTGTCTCCCTTCTGCGTGCTGACGTAGAGAAATTCACTGCAAGAATCCTCTCAAGGCCGTACGGGCTCGCCCGGTACGTGCTGGTTGTTTTCATTGTGATTGCCTGCCGAGAGCCGTGTGTGGATGTTCTCTATAATGGTCTTGTGTCGTCTTGTGCGATCTAAGGCTGCCTGGCTGGTTGGCGTCCTTCTCGTGAGCGTCTTGTATTCTCTTTCCTGTCCTTTTGGCTATGGCCACTATTAGAATGATAGCGTGGTTTAATTTGTCTCTAACGCCATGCTTGTGACGTCCTTACAGGTTTGTTGTGGAGAGCAATGTCTCTTTCTCCATTCGGGTCCACGAAGTTATGGGACATGCATGCCGGCTTCTTGCTGCTGGCATTTCCCCAGGGAAGGAAAAGCGACATACAGAAGTAAGTGGAGCTATACTCATTTAAGCATTGCGCAGCCGGAGAGACGTTGCCAACTGTTAAAGGGAAAGCAATGCTTTGCTTGAAGCAACAAACAGGTAACAAGATCCATTTGTAAATTATGATCGTCACACTGAGCATTCCCGTCCAGCTCCCGGCTTTGGAGCGTTTGGAGCGGTTCTCACTGTTTTATTCCACTGAAGTTACTACTTTGCTAAGCTAGCTGCAACAGTAGATCGAGTGCTAAGCAGCAGAGATAGTGCTCTCTGGTCCCCCAAGAGACGCGGGCCACAAGGAGAAGCTTTTCATGATACCCGGTAAAAGGTTCGTCCTGCAAAAGCAACCACCAATGCGTGGCTTGAAACTTGGGGCGGTGTCGGCTCCAGAGAACTTGCGGTGTGCATTGCGCCAGTTCACTCTCAGTTCCGAGGGAGAGTGGCAGATGCATTTTTCCACCGCCAGCTGCTGATCAAAATCTCACTGTCAGTGTGGCTCCACCCTGCAAAAACCGGGAGAAACTCGACTCCGAATTAAGAGAACAAATGGTGGAGGATTGCAGATCCGAGCTCCAACAAGCTCCCGAAAGGCAAAGGACAAGAGAATTCACGAGCGAGCAGGCAGAGTTAGACGTTTTCGAGAGAGAGAAGGAAGAAGACACGACACGATCAGTAGCAGCAGCAGCAGCAGCAGCAGCACCGGCCTTGAATTTGGAAACAAGGGAACCTAGGATCACATTTCTTCCGGCGGTGCAAGCAAGTGATAATTACACTGCTCGAGCTCAGCGGAGCATATCACCACCCAGGAAGTTCGCAAACCCGGCACTCCTAGGTTCCTTTATTCCCAAACACAAGACAGAAGCCAGAGGTCCATGTCTGGATGGATGGATCAAACCAAGAACGGAGTTCTTACAAGTCAAGGCGGCCCCCAACGAGAACAAGTGCTCAAGCGAAAGAAGTCTGATCGAGAAGAACCATAGTTCGCAGATCCAGAAGAAGAAGAACAGAAGAAGAAGAAGAAGAAGAAGAAGAAGATCTTCGTTAAGACAAGAGGGAAGAAGAAGCAGATCTTCGTTTCAATCAACAAGAAAGAAGAAGAACACCAAACAAGAAAGAAGAAAACAAGCAGCAAATAGCTAAACACACGATTCAACAGACACTGAGGCGACGGATGCTTGCACGCGAACTATTTATCCTCCGGCGAAGATGCTAGCGGTGCAAAGCAGGGGAGGCTCCATCTCCGGCTCTCTCTCTCTCTCTCTCTCTCACACACAGGGAGAGAAAAGAAAAACTTTCCATATTCATTAAAAAATTGAAGCTCTTACCGTTTCGAGAAAGCCCCTGTTTACGCGACCCGCGCATCGAAGCCGTCCATTCTCAGAGAGCTTTCCATTTATATCCATGTCACGTCGCTATCGTCACCATTAAAACCAGCTTCCCGGAGCACTAAAACATGGCATTACGCTACACTAGCACCAAAGATTTCCATTTCCTCGCATTGCAATGTTTGAGAGTCAGTGCCACGGCTTCTAGGGTTTCTGTATCCAACGGCAAACATCGCGCCACGTGGAGAGGCATGAAGGCGCCAGCACGACATCCCCGTTTAAGCCCTTATTCTTGCTTAATCCATTAAGCATGGATTAGCCAGTCTTTTATTTCGCGGATTTATTAATATAAACACCCTGGAAAATATTTCCCAGGGCCGTGAAATGCAACGAGACGAGAGAGTGACGAGAGAGACGCTCGTTCTTTTTGTTCGTCCTTCTTCCTGTTGCTGCTTTTTCGTGGCTCCCCGGAGTGATCTTCCTCACTTCTTGGAGCGGCGGGGCCGCTTGGATCCCCACACCTCGAATCTGGCGGCGGGGCAGCCACACCGAGCTCGAAAAACCAGCACCGCCCGCCCGTTTGGAGGAGCCATCCTCTTGAGCTCCGCCTCCAGCTCCTTTTGATCCTGCGCCAGCTGCAGCCCCTTGTCCAGCAGCACAGCGTTGGTCGGCGGCGAGCTCTTGACGCACTCCTCCGTCTCGAGCTGGATGTCGCACTCCATGGCGTTTTTCAGCCCCTTGCACGACGGGTTGCCGCACTTCCTCGACTTAAACTGGTACAGCTCCCACATCCCGATCACCGACGCCGAGGTGAGCACCGCCGCCAGCGCGTAGGCGACGGGAGCCTCGTACACGACCTCGCCGATGAAGAGGAACGTTGCCGGGAGGATCTCGATGATCTCGTTGCACACCAGCTTGAAGTATGGCGTGAAGAGGAAGGCGCAGGCGGCGAGAGCCACCAAGAGGATGAGGATGTCGATGGCGGCGGTGGAGCAGCGGTCGCAAGGTGGCGATGATTGGTGGTGGTGGCTGTTTACGCCGCCGCCGCCACCATTTGCTTGCTTCTTTGATCTAACTGGTTTGTACCTGGTTGTGCTGCTGCTACCGCTGGTGCTGCTCGAGGAGCCGAAGGTCAGACGGTCCGAGAGCATGACGGACTTCACCATTCCACACTGCCGCTTGATGATTCTGCAAGCTCTTGACAGGCTCCGGCAGACCATCCCCGCGTGCCAACGCTAGAGCTGGAAAACACGAAAAGAGAAACTTAGTTTGGTCCCTTCTCCTCAAGGCACAGCACAAGAAAACCGCTAGAACAGAGTCCAAACAATCTAAGATTGACAAAAGGTGAAAATCTGAGCTGACAAACACAGAGAAACTTAGTTTGAAAGAAAGCTCTCAAGGCATTTTACAGGTGTAACGACAACCAGCAAGAAAACCACGAGAACAAAGTATCGAAAAAACACTAGATTGACAAGATGTGATCTCAAATCCCAGACACCACAGTGCTCACAGAAAGAGTTGTAAAAAGAAAAGAAAGACACGAGAGTAAAATGAAGGAGAAAAGAAAAGACCACAGAAACGATGAACGAGCTTCCCAGAAAGAGTCAATCGGCAATGGATTCCGCGAGAAGCAAGCTCACAAAGAAAGAATTGCCCTAAAAATCGAGATCTCAATTTCGCCATGCAATCCGGCTGCTCCGGCAGTGACACATACCTAGAAATGCGATCTGATCGCGCAAGATCCACGCAGCAAAACCCTCGCCCTCGCGATCGCGCGACCCCGAATTCCGCCTCCGGCCGAAAGATTTGTGGCCAATTGGCGATGAGCCGATGAGCCTGGAAGAACCGCGGCTATGGCGCGCGGCTCGCCATCGGCATCGGCATCGCTAGCGCCATCGCAGCAGCACAGCCTCGGAAAGAATGTAAACCAGGAGAAAACGGACAAAGCAAAGACGAAAGAAAGAGATGAGGGCAAATGGAAGGAGAAAGTAAACGCGATTAATGACCTTTAGGGCTTTTGGCTGACGTATGCCCTAAAAGTCCCGTTTAAATCGTTTGCTCTAGGTTTAAGGGTCTTTGAGCAATGGTGTTTGCTAGAGCTACACACGAGCTCCCATTTCGTGGATCGATCGATAGGATGTTCTTGGCGATATCTCGACCAACATTTAGATTCGAGCTTCTCTCGCAAGATGCGAGGAGTGATCCACAAACCACAACGTCGGCGATGAATGGCATGTTGTCTATCAAATCTCTCGCCTCTCCAAGCTTGCCGGATCTCCCGAGAGCGTCAACCAGGCTGCAATAGTGTTCTTTGGACGCCACCATGTCATAGTTCTCGCCCATAGAGGAAAAGTAGGACAAGCTCTCGGATATGAGGCCGGCATGGCTGCATCCGGCGAGAATCTTTGAGAATGCCGCGGGATTCAGCTCGATTCCCTCCATTTCCATGCTCCTGAAAGCCTGGGTGGCAATGGATCTCCCCGCGAATCTGGAATATGCCGCGACCATGGTACACCACGACGTGGCGTCCCGCCTTGGCATCCTCTCAAACGTGAGCTTTGCCGCGAGGAGATGCCCGTTTTGGGCATATGCCGCGACCATGGTGTTCCACGTCACCATGTCCCGCCATGGTAGCACCGCAAAGGTCGCCTCGGCTTGTTTGAGGTGAAGATTCTGTGAATATGCTGCTATGATCGCGTTCCAGGCCACCATGTCGCGCTCGCGGATGCCGTCGAAAGCTTCCTTCGCGCGGTCCAGATGACCCCCGTGGCCGTAGGACGCAATCATAGCCGTGCACGTGGCGGCATTTTGTAAGGGCATGCGTCCAAACACCTGCTCGGATTCGTGCACGTGTCCCTGGAGTCCGTACGCTGCGATGAGGGACGTACACGACACGATGTCGTGCTCGGGCATGGAATCGAACACCAGCCTGGCCTGCTCCAGTTGACCCTTCTCGGAATATGCGGTGACCAGCGTCGTCCAAGATGCGAGATTCCACTCCGGCATCAAGTCAAACCGCGACTTGGCATCTTCCAGATCGCCGCCCTGGGCAAATGCCGTCAAGAGCGCATTCCAGGAAAGAATATCCCTTTCGTTCATCGAGTCGAAAAGTCGTGATGCCGCGTTGGTCTCTCCGTACCGCCCGTACGCGCCAATCATGGTGTTCCAGCTGACCACATTGAACTCCGGCATGGCGTCCAGCGTGGCCCTAGCGGCATCAATGCCACTCTCGCCGGCATATGCGCCCAGCATCAAGCTCCACGAGGCAATGTCGTGCATGGGCATTTGCCGGAATAGGCTCTCCGATTCCCGCATATGCCCGGCTTGGGCATATGCCATTAGCATCGCGTTCCACGAGAAAACATCGTGCGTGACCATTTCGTCAAACAGACGCTTCGCCTCATTCACGTTACCATGCTGTGCATGCATTGTAAGTACCGCATTGTACGACACTATGGTAAACTCGGGAGATTCGTCAAAGATTCTCAACGCCTCGCTAATATGCCTTGCCTGGGCATATGCCGAGACCATGGCCGTCCACGTCACCACGTCGCGGTCGGGCATTCTATCAAAAACTACTTTTGCCTCGTCAAGATGCCCGCTTAAGGCATATGCCGAGAGCATCGACGTCCACGCACGCAAATCTCGCTGTGGCATTCTATCGAAATAATCCTTTGCTTCGTTGACTAAACCATTTGTTCCAAATGCCTGGATGATTGTGTTCCAAGCAATTGGATCTGGATCTACGAGCCCATCAAACAGGAGCTTTGCTTTCGTGAGATCTCCTTTTTGGGCATAGAGGGATATCAAAGTCGTCCATGAAACCATGTCCTTGACGGGCATTTGATCGAACAATCTCTGCGTTTCCTCGATAGATCCAAGACGAGCATACGCGGCGATCATCGAATTCCAGCACACCGAATTCTTCCAAGGGATTCGATCGAAGAAGTTTCTGGCCTGATCGAGGCTGCCACTATCAACGTAGGCGGACAGCATGATACCCCAAGAGAAGGAATTGGGGCGGCGAATGGAATCAAACACCGATCGAGCTTCATCGATCGCTCCACACTTTCCATACAATTCGACGATGAGATTGGAGAGATACCTGTTCTGCGAATGCTGGCTCGCAGCGACGCGAGAGTGGGCGTCTCGGGCTCTCGACACATCGCGAAGAGCTCCACAGGATCTAATCAAGATCGCGAGCTCGTCAACCTCGCAAAGTTCTTGAGATTTGGACTTTACGACAGGTTTCATGATCACACAACTTCATGAGATATTTGCGTGTATAAGAAAAAATCGAAGCACTCGTCTATCAATCTCTAGGCCTACGAGTTGATCGCGCGGCAATTCGATCGAACCTGCGTGGCTTCCGAGTTAACGACGCTGGTGAGCTTGACAAACGCTCGCGAGAATGTGTCGAAGAACAATCCCTGGTTCTGAGCAAACTTGGAAGTATAGATCGAGGTCCTGGGATCGCTCTCGACAGCAGCATCAAGCGCGAAGAGCACCCGCCGCAAGGCAGCGTCCTTGAAGAACATGTTGTCGAATCTAAACATGGTTGAATCGTTTGGGATGGCCGTGATGTTGAGGTAGAACTTCGGACTCGGGCACAACACTCGCAACGCCATCGAGTACATGAGATCCATCTTGGTATCAACGCTTGGATAGAGCCGGTTGACAACGCTCAAGCAGTGCCCAACTCCAAGAGTGTGAGCTCCTGGAACCAAGTATATCACCAAGTATATCAGCCAAAGAGAAGGACGAGCCGCTCGATCGATCGAAAGAAACTAGAGGCTAAAACCAAGGAAACTATGGAAGAACACACTCACCGAGAAGAGACACAGCCTCTTGCGGGTTAATTCCCATGGACGCGAAGTCTTGGAGAATTTCCTCCACGGAAGAAGTGGCAGTGGCAAGCTTGCGATTCGCGGTCACGAGGTCCGCTCTCGTGCTATCTTTGCGACCCGTTAGAACAGGAATGTTTGGTCCTCCAGCCTGCAAATTCTCGCTAAGGCAAACAAAGAAAAGAGAAGAAAGGAAAGATCTTCTTACCAGCAAGATGGAGTCTCGAGCAGCTAGAGCGATGATGTCAGCGCAAGAGACAGTGCGCGGGCAGCTCCCCTCCAACGACGCCTTGATCCTATCGATGAAATCCACGCGACGGATGCCAAAGTTCTTGGGAGATTCCAGCTCGCTCTGAAACTGTGGAGTGGAATCCAAGATGATCGATGCATCGCAGCCCTGAAGGCACAGAAGAATAGTCTAGATGATCCAAGAACACCTGGAAGGAAAGAATCCATACCATGACATCGCAATCGTGGAAGGCGAGGCGAAGCAATGCCGCTCCAGCGGTGGGATCTTGCATGAGGAGCGTCATGAGCGTCTGGCGCACGATGGTCTCGGCATTGGGGCAGCTGGATCCGTAGTATCCCAATCGCAGTGAGGTGGAAGTGGAATTTCCCAGAGCTTGCGGCCGCTGTGACGACTCCTGATCCACTGCGAGGCAAGAGATCGCGAGGAGGAGGAGGAGAAGCAACGCGAAAGACGCCATTGCCATCGATCGCTCCCGATCGAATGTACGAAGAGAAGGTTGCCGCCCTCCTGCTCAGCGGTGGCGCCGAGCGCGCGATTATGAATCCATGGCGCAGCCAAATCCATTACGCTAGCAGTTGGATGGAGGCAGCGCGCGCTCGGCTGACTTCACGCAACGGGCAGTTCGTCCGTGAAGCGCCACCGTCTGGAATCTTTTCTATGAATTTTAGGGTTCCTCCTTTTGGCGCTCGAAAGATGAGAGTGGATTCTCATGCCTTATTCCAGAGCTTTGATGAATCTCTTCTTCTCTGGCCGCTAGAGCGGAGCAAGCCTTGAGGAATCCTGGATTTGCCAACCCTGGTCTGAAGAAGCTATGTCAGTCTTCTCAGTCTGATATCTTTCCTTCGTTTTGATACTAAAACCGATGGAGCCGCTCCGACGAAAACATGCACTTGCGCAGACCAATGATCCGCTGGCTGAGACGTGGCACCTCTATGCTTTGGGAGGAGCATTTGATACTTGTATAGTACAGTAACTAAGGATTTCATTGGTACACTTGGCCTTATGAAGGAAATTCGGGCTCCAAAAGCTTGACAATCTGAAAGCACATGTTCTTGTTTATTTTGCCGACATTTTCTTTCTTATGGTGAGGGATGTTCAATGTGTTTCTTTTCCTGGTGAGATACTAGTTTTCTTGGCTCAGTGCAGGGGTGTCAGCACAAGAACTTTACAAGAAAAGGATTTCGCACTGTCAAGGACTTGCAGCTGTGCAGGAAGCATGCAATCCCCGTACAAGACGAAATAGCAAGATACGCTACTACTGTCAATGATTTCCAAGGTGAAATGGGAAGGTCTTGGAAGGTCCTCATCCACTTTTTCTGTACATTTTGATTTTTTCAGGTGGCATTACATGCCATCATCTACAAATGTACCGACCAATGCAGGGCAAAAAAAAAAACAATAATTTAGATGGTTTTTAAGGGTAGTGTTCATTATTTTGAGGTGATTGTGACACCAAGCTGGTTTTCTAAATAATATCATCCATGGAATAAAAGTTGTCTTATGACATGTTTTCACCAACTTTTGAGTAAGAATATTGGTTGGACTAACCTTTTCAACATTTGAATGATAGAAATTCATGATATCATTAAAATGCAAACACACTTTAAACTTGCTTACATGGAATGTTGAATAAAATTTTAAACTAACTAACAAGTTTAAAGTGTAAATAAAATCATTTAAACTCAAAGATGCTTAATTAAGATTTTTAGCTAATTGAAAAAAAAGTGTAATCCTTTCCTTTTATATTTGAACCTAAAAGATCATCTTTTGAATCATTCTTTTTTACTACTTATAAAATAACAACATATTTCAATGTGTTCTAGATATCTTTAAGAAATCCTTCACAAAAAAAACTCTAGCCATACAATAAAAAGAAATTAGATATATTTACAGCAGGTAGGAGCTCCAAAGGCTCAAGAGGTAAATAACTCTCCTTAAATTGTTTGACAAACTGTTTAGCCAAAGAGCCTTGGTTTATGGAGAAAGAGGCCACTTGGTTCCTCCCATTTTCTCCTTGGCCTTGTTCCGGTTGAAGGCCCAGAATTGGACCAGGTCCATGGCACCTTCGTTAGCACAGTAGAACCCACGCACAAAACATAATCTCATGATACTTCTCACGCCCCATATATCTTCCAGGAATGCACGTTTGTGCCAGTCATCAGTAAGCTCGCTGGAAGGCTACAAGCAGCACTACGAGACGCTTGCGGACGTACCACTGCGTGTTCCACACTCGCATCCACCCTTGTAAAACCTTAGAAGACTCTTTAGTATACAGAAATCGAGATCTTTGGCGGTGTCCTGGACTAGACCGAACTTTCATGGATGTTTTTCTTGCAAGTTTCACGTAGATTGGGATGGCAGTGTGGAAATGCAAGATCTTAAAACCCAATACACTTTATATAAAAAACAGAAAGGAAAAACTATTGACCAGGCACAAAGATGCTCTACATCAGCAACAACCTCATCTCTATGTACACTCATGCGGCAGTGGCTGGACACCTAGCAGACAGTCTCATCAGGCATCATTGTCCCATGATCCTGCAAGACAACAGCCATCTGGCGTCAAGAACAGCGAGAGCAGAATACAATTGGAGGAATCGCGAGCTGCAATTCAGCGTCTCCTACAGGATCTAGAACGGCTCACAGGTAACCCCGAGGAAAGACAAGTTTTTCTATTAGGAAAGAAATCACTGACAAAAGAGACTGCGGAAGCTGTTCCTGAAGAGGAAGATGCTGCAGACGAAGAGGACGAGGACGATCTTCTGGGATTAAGGAGAGAGCAGATGCTACGATGCCTGAGCTTGCAAACGTGGTGGCGCCAGTAGGAACCCGTACTGCGATCAAATTTTGGTACGCGGACCGTCTCAACTACTCGCTTGACAATTTGCCGTCCAAGGAGCAGGTTCTGCTCGTGCATTGCGATGGATGATCCTGCTGAAGAGCTGCCTTTTGAGATCAACTGGACGCCGAGGTACTACAGGTGTGAAAGGTTGGAATGAAATATGCCCTTTTTAAGGCAATACGCTTCTGCTTTTGATGCATTGAACCATGGGCATAATAGCTTGACAAGATTTCTCTGCGTCTGGAAGGCATAAGTTTCTTAGTTTCAAGCCGGAGAGAATTCTCGGAAAGAGAAGAAAACGTGAACACCTGTACCATGACATCGCAATCGTGGAACAGCTGGAGCCAATCGCAGCGGTTCTTACTGCCAGGCAAGAGACTGCGAGGGCCGAGGAGGGAAAGCAGAGATCGCTCCTGATTAGCCAGTATAGACTTCTAGTTTCGACACTCAGATAGTTGAGCTCCGAACAGGGAAGGAGGTTTTGCAGCGTGATCGGCCATGACCCTGTTCCATTCTTCTCGCCTTCTCTATCATGGTATCTTTTAGCCGCATCTTCGTACTCTAATAAACTATAAGCGGTTTCATCGCGATATGGCGAGCAGTTCCTCTGTCTTGCTCATCAGGGAGATCAGTCCTGGAGGACACTCCTGTCTGCATGCCGGACGCGGAGAGATGTGGAGACTGGAAAATATTGACGATAGAGACCCGGCAGCGTACGAGTTCTCTCATGTCCAACCTGTGAAGGAGCTGTCACGGATCCTGCGAAGTCAAGTGGAACTCTACTCTGCAATCAATAGCCAGATCAATAGCGACTGCGGAGGATCTAGTTGCTGATGGAAAGAACACAGATAGCGATGACGATGAGGCAAGAGCATTCTCGTTTTCATCTTTGCAAACTTTGCTAACTTGGACGGGCAAGAGGAGTAGACGCATCAAGCACAAACTTAACAATCTCCCTTTTAAAAGCCCCTCGGCGTGGATTTCTTGCCAGTAGTCCTTGAGGGTTAAATCGACGGACGCAGTTTCAAGTTTTCTCGCTTCTTCAGCATGAAAGAATCTATGAACTTCGTAGTTTTGTACAAGCAGCAGCCACTGTGCAGTGGAACTCTTCTCGTCATCTTCGCGGGTTACTACTGCCTTAGAAGACGCTACATTTAAAACAAGACAAAAGAAAAACAACATGAGAATCTCGAATGCAGCAGCTGCAGCACAAAATGTTCTAGATCCACCTTGTCGAGCGGCGATCCCAATTTAAAAGCTGGAAGGAGCGGTTGACTGATAACAATGATGAACAAGTTTTCACGAGAAGAGTTCCCTAAGTTGGCACATAGAAAGGACCGCTAAAACCGTGCGCAATGCAAACTGCCCGTCATCCCTTATGCGGCACCTTCCCTCTTCGTCCTCCTCGTCCTCCTCGTCCTCCTCGTCAGCCTGTGGTGCCTAAAAGAAAACAAAGATTCTGTAGAACGCACTTTTCGAGAGTAACTTACCTCCTGGGCCTGATCAGCTGCTGGAGCTCCCTCCCACGGTAGATGCACCTGGCTCTTCCTGATCTTGGCATACGCAGTTTTACCATGATCATCGTCCTCGACGAACAAAAAGTTCTGGATGAGCTGCAGGATGTTGAGACACTCGTCGAAGCTCTGGTATGGAGCGCTGAGCTTGTCGACCACCATGCGAAACAGCCAGTTCTCACCGCAGTTGAGCCTCTCCAGGACGATCTTCTTGACAGCGGGCGAGTACGCAATGGCCAGCTCGATCCAGGGTACTGGAATCTGGAGACGTCGCAGCCAGTTCTTGGGGATCTCCCCCATCTACACAAAGACACGACAACAAACAATGGAGGCTTCCAAAGTGAAGCCAGAAAAGCTTACCTTCCAGGTACCCGAGTTTAGAACATGGCAGGAGCTGACCGAGAAAGTCCCGGCATCCAAGTCGATGATGTAGACGTACTCCATCATGAGATCAAGCTCCGGCTGCTCCATCACCGGCTCTCGATTCGACACGAACATGCCGAGCTCGAGCAAGCGAAACCAGAGTCGCTCTTGGGACTCGATGTTCCGGCACAGGAACGCCCATCCGTTTCCTCCTCCCAGTTTCTTCTCGGCCTCGTTCCGGATGAAGGCCCGGAACTGGACCGGGTCGTCAAGAATGGCAGCCATGCTCGCTATCACAGCATCACCCACGCTCCTGATGGAGTGATACTGCATCCGCCCCATATCTTCCAGGTATTCTCGTTTGCGCCAGTCATCACCACCAAGCGTGTAGTCGCGGACAGCGTCGATGATCGCGTCCGAGGGTTGATGCTCGCTTCTCTCTTTACCTCCGCACTGTCGAGCACACGTAAGAGTTAGACGGGAAGCAGAAAAGATGAAAGCTTGAGCCTGATCAGAAAGAGGAAGAAAGATGAGAGCTTGAGCCTGATCAGAGAGAGGAAGAAAGATGAGAGCTTGAGCCTGATCAAAGAGAGGAAGAAAGATGAAGCTTGAGCGTTGAGAGAGGGGAGAAAGATCACCTGGATGAAGACGGCCTTGTCGAGCAGGCGCCTCCACTCTTCCGGGTCCGGATGATCCGCGAGCAGCGCTACGAGACGCTCGCCGACGTACTCGAGCTGCACCCACTGCTTGTAGAGAAGATAGTAGACGCCTTTGTAGCGGTAGGAGATCCACGCTCGCATCCCCATGGCCAGACACCCTTCTAACTTCTAAGACCCTAGAAGTATACCATCTCGTACTTGATCAAGCAATCAAACAATGTGGTATCATATTTTCACCGAACTACAATCACACTTCGATCTGTTTTTTTAGGCACCAGCAGGAAGATGGCAAGCTCGGATTTGGACGGGGAATAAAGATCTCGAACTTTCACTAAGTTCTCGTCGTAAGATTTTTCTCTTTCTCGACGAGAGGTACTCAGGAGATGAAAAACACTGGATTGATCATGAGCACGCCCCTGTAAATTCACAAACGTAGGCACAAAACTTTAGAACAGGCAGAAAACCTTAGAACACAAAACTTTAGAACTCGCACAGAGGAAAATGGAAAAAGCTTCGAACCTCAGTGAAGCAACAAATTTCTCATATGCTTCCTCTCATCCAGCTCCTACTCCACAGCCTTCAACACAACCGGAAGAACTGTGAGCTCACAAAGCAAAAAGCCATCACTCTGGTTGCGGTTCTCCAGGCGCTCGCTTGACCGCCATTCCAAAGGCAAGGCTCGAAGCGAAGTTCCCAGTCACCACCTCCAGCTCATTGCATGAATACTTTTGAGCCGAGCCTTTCAGTGCCAGAGCGAAAGCACGCTCAACTTTGTCAAGCCTGTGCTTCCAGATCATCAGCATGACCAAGCCGAGCGAATGCTCTGCGACCACCCTGACGAGAGTGGAGAGACATGACCCTGTACAGCAACATCAACCTGACAACGCCGCTGAAGCTCTGGTCGCTGCTGCTTACTCCCGCAGGCCACCAGCGCGGATATGACTTGCTGTAAATCTCGGAACCTGCCTGTCCATTTCCTGTGGAAATAGTCACGGATTTAAATCGGCACTTGAAAGAAGGCATAGCCCTTACTTCGTTGTTATCTTGAGCCTTCGGCTATTGTATCCAGGCCTTGATCCTAACCACAAATTCACTGTTAGACAATAGAAAAGAATAAAAGCAAAGTGTCAGTCAACTTTACCTGTCTAGCTGAGTAGTAAAAGCTGAGACCAGCTGATCCAGCTATGCTCAATCAGGATAAGAAGAAGCTGACAAAAAATACCTCAGTGAAAAGCAATGCTAATGAGTTACTTGTCACCATTGACAAGCTGGGATAGCTGAAACCTGGAGTATCAGCATAGCCCCTCTAAATGGCAGATGCAAGAGAGAAACGTGCCGCGTCGTGTGTCGTCCGGATCCAGTTCGATACGACACCTCATTTACGCGAATGACTTCATCGTCAACTTCGTCTAGTGCCTGTACATGCGACAATTGAAGTTAGTATCAGGCGAACTTCGAAGGTAGACAGACCTGGATGTCATCTGGTGCCGAAGGCCACAGTGGCAGCCTCAAACTGGGATCGTATGACAGTAGCAGGAAGGCAAGACTTTCTGCGTAGAACGTTGATCAAGCTTGATTTTCCGACTCCACTTGGTCTGATGTTTTATCTTCGAGGAGATGAAGCCCCATACCAGTCTCTACACTGCATATGTATGGTTTATATCCCCACTCCACTTCTCCCAGCTATCTTTCACCTGAAAACTATAAATGAACCTTCTATCAGCTTTGCAGAAACGAAAAGAAAGAAATAAACGGGTACCTCCTGAGTAACAAGATCCGCCTTGTTGAGCACCACTGCGAGAGGTATTCCAGTCGTGTTCCCGAGATTAAAACACTATCAGACTCTTCTCCTGATCTTCTTGAGAAGTGCTCTCACCACGCAAAGAAGCTTAATCCCTGCTCTAAAGCCCTCGTCTCGCAAGCCATCGTCGAGCGCTCCAGCTCATTCCACCACGACAGTCATGGAATTCGCCTGCGCCGAAGTTACCTGCCAGACTGCTCGATCCTCAGTTGAAAGATTGTCGAATTGCTTGACATCGGGCAATGTCGTTACATCACGCACCTAGACACTTGCTTGGAATCGCCCCGCCGCAGCCGATCGTGGAGCTGCTTCCTGGCCGGGCCGTGCGCATTCTTCCTGCCTCATGGCACCATCGGCAGCCGCTGTGTCACGAAGCCCAGACCTAGAACACACGACGAACACCTCAAGGAGCCAATCAGCTCAAGAACCCTAAAAACTATTTTCGCGGGATTGGTGCCCTAAAAATCAAAGTTTTAGGGTTTTGGGGAAAAATGAAATGCATTGTCATCGAGGCTCAGGTGAGTTCTTCGATTCCGATCGAGCAATCGATCGATTGACAACCGGCGCAGCACGTAGAATCTCTGGATGTGCTGCTGTAAGGCCTGTGCGAGGGACAGCGCGAGGGTCTCAAAACCCACGAAATATGCCTCAAGAGTAATCCGATTTCCTTTCTTTTGCGGATTTTAGAGCTTTGGAATCTCTTGAAACAGGCACCGTGGCTTCGGAGCTCCATCTACTGTGTGATCTCTCCAAGCAACCTCAAATTTGGTATGTTGTTCTTTCTCCGTGCAAGAAGTAAGAAGTAGACGTTACTCATTCTCAGTTTCTTTGTTTTCTTCCTTCCTCGAGGACTATGAAGCACATAGGAGGAGCAATGAGAGGCACTGGTGCCGAGCAGCTGCCCGCCTTGGTACGCAACATTGTGGTGTCCAAGATGAGCAACAATGCTCTTCGTTTCTTCTACACCGTCGGCTACAAGATGGACTACGAGCTTCTCCGCGATGGTTTTGCGTACTGCTTCCAGAGAGCCTTTCCGATCACGGTCACAGTAACTTCAGTGTGTAGGCTTCCCAAGCAGCACTCGATCTACGACGCGACACCGGTCACGCCAAACATTCAGCTTGTCGAGGTTACGGCTCCCGCCGCCGCTGACAACTTTAGCGATGTTGTCCTGGCAATCTCCCGTAAGCTTTCATTTCTTCGTTTCCTTTTCCTTTCTTTTTGGTTTTGTCATCGCTCAGGCTTGTAAATTTGTCTAAGCCTGGAAGTTTTGCAAGGATTGTTTCCACGGCCTCCACGGCGGCCGTGTCGCGACTTGCTTACGCGAAGTGACAGGCTTGAGCATCGCGTTTGAATCATTGCAAAGATATTTGGTTATTATAACGCACTTTAACTTTCTTCTTAGAACAGGGCATAGATACATACACATACATATCGACATACATACATACACCTAGCAATTTAAGTAAAGCATCCGAGCGTCGCAAGGTAATTTATGGTGTTCTTTCCCTTCTTTATGCAACAGGATTGGTTTGTTTTTATGATGGAACAGGTAGCTCTTGAGAGAAATTCGATGTTCTAAATTTCTTGCCTTTTTGGTTCCCATTTTCAATCAAGGTGAGTCTTGAATTTCTCTCAGTTCCATAACTGATGAAAAATACAGGGAAAGCGTTTTTACCCTTTGAGACGATTGTTACACTTCGTACAAGTCTTGAACGCTCATCTTCATCTTTTTGCTGCCCCGGGGCCTCTCGATCGGCTTGTCCATCTTCTTGTCATACTGGGCACGAAACTCGTTATTCGAGCTCCACCTGAACGAAGCATGGTAAGAAAACAAAAGAAACGAAAAGGAGAAAAGGAAAAGCTTACGGTGTGTCCCATCGGCTTGTGTCCTCGTTGACGAGATGCGTCCACTTGACGCGGCCACGCCGGCCAAAACCCTTGACTTGCATCACCTTGGGCAGTAACTTCTTGTCCAGCTTGTCCTCACCAGTCGGCTCTGAAAAGTCCCTCTTGTAGATGGGCTCATTGTCCGACTGGAAGAAAGGTCCCTTCTTGTAGTCCCTTTGCAAAAACTTCCTCTTTGGAGCTGGGCTACTCTCACTCTTCGCCATCCCCATGGTTGCACCCTAATCCTCGATAGGGATATGCCTGGAAGTGCCACGTCAGCAGAAAAATAGAAGAGAATATAATATATTCAAATTTTCGCAGAATATTCGAAGAGCCCGGGAGAAGCCCTTTCATATGGAGAAAAATATACCAAGCAGCGCTTCCAGTTCCAGGGCGGAATCCAGTTCTACAGGTCGCGGGGCCAGCACATCCTCAAGAATCCTCTCATTGTCCAGTCGATCGTGCAGCATTGTCCTGGAGATTGGGCCGGGAACTGGAAATCTCACCGTCAAGCTGCTCGAGGTCGCCAAGAGGTGCTGCAGAGGCGCGTCCAAGGCACTTCCAAGCAAATCGTGTGTCAAATCGATTTTATGAGTGATTTTCTTCTATGCTTGTAGATCGTCCAGGGAGATGTTCTAAAGACCGAACTTCACAGTCCCTGAATTTGAGCGTGGACGAGCAAGCATTGGGGCACAAAATCGTTCTAGAGCAGAATGGGCAAGAGCATTGTTGCCTCTCACAATGCTTGTGCTCCTAATCTTCCTTTTGTGATCCCAAGCGAGGGGATGTCATCCTTGGACAACCACCACAGATCTTAATCTCCACAAATCGACCAAAACACTACATTTACCCAAGTGGAATACAGCCCACAACTTTTGTTGCCCTCCCTGCCAAGAAAACCATGGCTTCCAGCAAGGTCCATGTCTTGGCGGTTCCAGCGGCCGTGCAAGGCCATATCTCCCCAATGATGCATCTCTGCAAGTTCATCGCTCAAGATCCAAGCTTCACAATCTCCTGGGTCAATATCGACAGCCTCCACGACGAATTCATCAAGCACTGGGTGGCGCTGGCGGGGCTGGAAGATCTACGCCTCCATTCCATCCCATTCTCATGGAAGGTCCCGCGAGGAATCGACGCCCATGCTTTGGGAAATATTGCGGACTGGTCCACGGCAGCTGCGCGAGAGCTCCCCGGAGGCCTCGAGGATTTGATCCGCAAGCTTGGCGAGGAGGGCGATCCGGTCAGTTGTATTGTCTCGGATTACAGTTGCGTTTGGACCCACGATGTGGCAGATGTATTTGGAATCCCCAGTGTCACTCTTTGGTCGGGCAACGCGGCATGGACGGCATGGAGTATCACATTCCAGAGCTTCTGGAGAAAGATCACATTTTTCCTAGCAGAGGTATGAATCTCCGTATGTTCTTCCCTTGGACTTTCAAATTTCCCCTGTTCTTCCCTTTGGAATTAACATTTCCTCTGTTCTTTCCTTTGTTCAAATTTCTGAGATTCGCACGCAGAGAGAGCTTCTGCGGAGGAGGCCAATTCCGTGATCATCGATTACGTCCGAGGAGTCAAGCCTCTCCGCCTGGCCGATGTGCCTGATTACCTGCTGGCCTCTGAGGGCCAGGAGGTGTGGAAGGAGATTTGCATCAAGCGCTCTCCAGTCGTGAAGCGCGCGCGATGGGTCCTCGTCAATTCCTTCTACGACCTCGAGGCGCACACCTTCGATTTCATGGCCAGCGAGCTCGGGCCTCGATTCATCCCCGCGGGGCCACTGTTCTTGCTCGACGATTCCAGGAAGAATGTGGTGCTTCGCCCCGAGAACGAGGATTGCCTTCGCTGGATGGATACGCAGGAGCCTGGATCGGTGCTCTACATCTCGTTTGGCAGCATCGCGGTGCTGAGCGTGGAGCAATTCGAGGAGCTCGTGGGAGCTCTCGAGGCATCAAAGAAGCCATTCTTGTGGGTGATTCGATCCGAGCTCGTGGTCGGCGGACTCTCCACCGCATCTTACAATGGATTTTACGAGAGGACCAAGAACCAGGGATTCATCGTTTCCTGGGCGCCACAGCTGAGAGTTCTCGCCCATCCCTCCATGGGAGCGTTTCTCACTCACTGCGGATGGAATTCTGTCCAGGAGAGCATAGCGAATGGCATTCCAATGCTGGGGTGGCCTTACGGGGGCGATCAAATCACCAACTCGAAGTTCGTCGTGGAGGACTGGAAGATCGGGGTTAGATTCTCCAAGACAGTGGTGCGGGGATTGATCGGGCGAGAAGAGATCGAAGATGGCATAAAAAAAGTGATGGATAGCGACGAGGGGAAGAAGATGAAGGAGAGAGTGGAGAACTTGAAGATCCTTGCAAAAAAAGCTATGGACAAAGAGCATGGGAAATCGTTTCGTCGCCTCCAAGCATTCTTGGAAGATCTCAAAGCTTTGAGCTAAAGCAGTGAAATCCAGTTTCTAGCATGGAATGCTAGAGATCTACATGCCCATTAGCCCAGACAGGATTGGAAAAGATTTGGGCTCGTTTGCTAGTGGATGCGCCACTCTTAACGGATCTACTCGCGGATGATGCAGGCTTATGGCGAGATTGGCGAGCTAGAACTCTCCCTGTTTCGAAAGATGCCGCAGTGGAACCTCTTGTGGAATACCATGCTCACGGCCTATGCGGAGAATGGTCGCGTGGAGGACGCGAAACGAATGTTTTACGCTGTTCCTGTGGAGAACACAGTCTCGTGGAACTCCATGCTCCAAGCTTACTTTCTTGCTGGTCAAGTGGAGTTCCACAAGATGCCTTGCAAAGACGTGATTTCCTGGAACGTTAACACGCTATGCGTGGCTGCAAGCAGAGAGAACAACCACAAAAGCTATGGCATCGGCTGAGATGACGATGTTCCATGATATCTCGCCATCTTGTCAAACACTATCAAAGCTTGAACCATTGAGAATGCTCCGGTGAGGAATCTAGTGGAAGATTGACGTTGCCTCTTTCAGCTGGCTGATCTGGATGTAAGACGCGAGCATCATCGACCACGTCACAGCATTTGGTTCTGGATGTTTGCTCCGATCTCTTTCCATCTTCAAGGAATCCTTTGTGACTAAATCCTTGGACCACCGAGTTCCAGCTTGTCACATTTTCTGAAAAACCATTCTTGCTCAATAAAGTGCATATTCCATTGTAAAATATTGTTTAAGATGGTGCTTAATATAGATTTTGAATATCCACATCCATAAAAGTATTTCTATGGTGGGAAAGAGGTATCCATTTATGTGAAAGTATGGAATACAAGGCAAATAACTTCTAGAAAATTGACTTTCTAGAGATTTTCATAATATTAAACATTAATATGTATCTTGCTAAATTTTTTGAGGCTCTTTATATCAAAACCCCCATTATTTTTGGCCAAAACTCTATCTATCTATCTATCCATCTATATATATAAATAAAGCTAAACATTTTTGGGTTGTCAGTTCTAGCCAATTCAGCATATTGCAAGCTTGTATTATATGGATTCTACATTCACACTTTAATATGTGGGGCAACTCATTATATAGTCACTTGTGAGCTGTCAACCATGAAATAAACACATGCAATTTTCAACACATATGCATAGGCTGTACACAGATTTGTGTGGCTTAAATGCATTAGGAGTGACAATGCTCCTGAACATAATGTAGTAGAGGACAATATGGAACATTGTTGGGGTCCTTAGGACAGGAGTTTTATTAGTGGGATGTCAACAAGAAACCAGGCTTGCCTCTAGTATTTTCTTGCACATGTTCATCACTATTAACCTCCCTGCCTTGCAATGCATTGAACACTTCTGGCATGAATTATACAAGTGCAAAATATTAGGCATATCCTAATAATTGCCACAATCAATCACAATTTCAAGATGTACTAAATTGTTACTAGTGCAAATTCAATTTGATTGGTAAACCCAGGACAAGGGCCATATGGTAGACAACAAGGGAGAAAAGAACCTTTATTAATAAAAAGAGTTAGCCAACTGTTAGTCAGCTTAAAACAACATTAATTGCAATTTCTTGAGCACTCACCTCTTGACTAGTGTTTCAAAAGGAAGAGCAGTGTCAATGTAAACTAGAAGAGCCACACCTTCAACATTAGCTATTACATATTTTATAGACAAATCCAAGTGAAGGAGATATTACTAATAAGATTAAGGTCTTGTTGATACATTAGAAAAGACCAATTCCTCACAACAACAAGTTTCTAAAACATCAAGCATGCTTTGGTTGATAGAAAAAAGGGAATTAATACTTGAGGGAGCATTGCACCTTCAACATTCATAAACATTGAACCTAACATATCTTTTATATCTCTTGAAGACAGTGGCTGAACAATTCTAGAAGTGGTGTGAATGTTTATGCATATCATCTCCAAAAGGAAGGCTTACCCAAGCTTGTTCTAAAACAAGTTTGTTAGTCCATGAGATGGCCTAAAGAACTTACCACACTAATATAAATGTACCTTGTGTAAATTCCATGTAGCAGCCCAATGAGATATGTTTTTGGCAAAATACAACACAAAAACACATCATAAACTCTATTTGTGCCATGTATTGTAAACACTAATATGCTAATATCTTTAGAGGGTCCCATGATCAAATCTTGTTGTACCAAGGGATGTTAGAAACTTTGTGTGCTTGGTTGCTTGTGCCTGCAGGAAATGTAACTAAACCTTAAGTCCAATCTAACCTGGGGAGGGGGATTGGGAGAGAATTTGGGAATTCGTTAATGGATGGCTAATGCTTTATTGCTTGTATAGTGAGTTGTTGAAACTAAGTAGGACTTAGTAGGAGCTAGTGCAATAAGCAGGAACTTTAGCAAGGGAATTTAACTAAGGCCAAGGCCATAATGGTCAGATATATGAGGTAAGCTAGCAAATTGGAAAGGAAAAATTTGTTGCTGATAGGTAAAATATGAAAGATCAAAGCTCTACTTCCTCCACAAAAATGAAACAAACACATGATAGTTCAAACCCTAGAAAAACATAAAACATTTTTATCCATATCTTAAATCCCAAGCCTTGGGTGCAACTCTTGCTTTAGGACATCAAAGGGGAAACATCATGGCCTAATGGCCCAGTATAGGTACTCTTACTCCCCCACTTCCATCCCGAGGGAAAAGTTTAATCCCCTAGGAAAGGTGAGGATTAATGAGCCGCAATATACTCAAATGGGGTAACACTCCACATGAGTTGGGAGCACTGTAATCGGTTTCCCTTCCGGGAATGGGAGCTGCTCTTGAGCACTTCTTTGGATGGCCCTTCTGGCACCACCTGAGTCCATGCTCACTCCCACCCAATGCCCCTAAGCCCCAGCCTCAACCCCAAGTCAATTTGGAAGCACCACTGTTCAAGATTGGTTTCTAAACCTCACTATCCCTATTATACTTTTGGAACCCCCTATAGCCCCCCCTCCCCCTGGGAGACACATGCTTTGGGCTTTCACCCCGACCTGTATTAGTATTTGGATTTGGTCTCAAACTCGATCTTAGACTCAATCTTGAACTCGATCTCGGACTCGGTTTCGGACTCAATCTCAGACTCGATCTTGGACTCGGTCTCAGACTAGAGCTTGGACTCGATTTTACACCCGATCTCAGACTTGGTCCCAGTGGATATATCAGCATACTCTTTGATCTATAGAATAAAACCTTTATAGAACAAAGAGTATTTGATTGATTGAGTTGGAGACTGAGTTTGAAACTGAGTCCAAGATCTGAGATTGGGTCTGAGACCGAGCCTAAGATCAAGTCTCGGACTCGATCTTGAACTCGGTCTCGAACTTTGTCTTAGAGTCAGTCTCGGACTCGATCTCAAACTCGGTCTCATTTATCATTTCTGTCATGTTTTTGGGGATCCTTTAGCGTACAACACCTTAGGAAGTTGATTCCTTACAACTTCACCACCCATAAAAGAAGTTTGATGCCCACATCAAATGTCTTTTTTTAATCCTATGACTTGTTGACTATGTCTTTGGGGGCATCCCCCTGCTTAGCAATGTGCGTAAGTTAGCCTCTCCGGCCAAGAGCCCATAACAACGGAGTATAAGTGTCTCTATACCCCTCCCCTTACCATGCCCTAGTATAGGGTTGGGATTTGAACCTAGTCCTGCTTTACTAAAAGGTTGGGATTCAAACCCAACCTTTGTAGAATATGTTTACATATTTAATATCCATATGGGGAGTTGGGTGTCTATGCTTAGTCAACTTAACTAACCCATGCTAATTAGCTTACCGTCAGAACATATGATATTGCTCAATTTCTCAATTAGATTATTGAATTTTGCATAAGTACATAGAGTTTTACCTTGCAAAAATTCCTCCACTAGATCTTGTGTATTCACTAACTTCTCCTTCGGTTCCTATGTTATTTCGCAGTGTGGAAATTTTGTCCACTTCACATAAAACTCCCTCACCTCACGTTTTTGTCATTTACTCTTATACGCATTGAAGATGGCCTCGACTTTGTATTCCTCTTCCCCTTAGATAACCTAGAGTAATTCCTACGGTTATATCCTTTTAAAATGAAATTAAAAATATCAAGAGAGAGGTAGGTTATGTGACTAGTTAATAGTAACTATCCCATAACTAAACATTTCACCATGCATATAAACTGCCAAAACTAATTTACGTATACTACCCCAAACCCAAGGACCAATATAAGCTCATGAATTTGAATTTCCCAACTTAGTACTAGGACGCTTAACCTTAAATATCCCAAAACCCTTAACTAATTAAAAGAAAAGGTGCACTTTTGTTCATGGGTCTTTTCCCATTATATTTAAACCTCAATAGATTGCCTCTTGAGTTGTTCTCTAAATCGTTTTTTGAGTCGTTCTCTGTCAATCCACCACACTTTTCTGGGAGGTCACTCAACCTAGTACTATTCAAACTTAATGATACTTAACCCCAAATATCCCAAAATTTTTAACCAATTGAAACAAGGGATGCAATTTTGTTTATGGGCATTTTCCCACTATATTTGAATCCCTATGGATCGTCTTTCAAGACGTTTTCTTTAGTTATTTATAATCCATTACACTTTTCTACAAATTCACGCTTTTGTGAATGGAAATTGAGAGTTACAACTCTCTCTCAAGCCTCAGTCTTACAAATTGAACATATAGTGGGATTCTCTTAACCAACCAACAAAATCAAACTCAAAACCCCTCTAATACCAAATGTAAGTTCCTGAATATAAACTTCTCGAGAGGTCATCCAACTTAGTATTATTTAAACCCAAAAATATTTAACCCCAAGTACCCCAAAATCCTTAACTGATTGAAAAAAAAAGTGCACTCTTGTTCATGTGTCATTTTCCTTTATATTTTAACCTTAATAGATTATCTTTTAAATCATTCTTTTTGGTTGCTTACAACAAAGAAATGGATAATATCAAAGTCATAAATAAAGATATCTTAGAGACAATAAAGTATTAGTAAATAAATCTTAAATTAGAACACAAAAGTATTTCAATTAAATTATCATCTAATAAACTAAGATTATGGGATAAGAACCACCAA